GGACGCCCCCCCCCCTCCTCCCAAGCCCCGCGGCGTCGGGCCGACCGCCCTGGGCCGGAGCACAATGGGTGGCCTACGCACAGGGCGCCCACCGCACGGCACAACATCCACAACAACGATCGTCTCACACTCATCGCGATCTCGAAATTACAAAACAGAATAATAAAATCGATTTTACTGTTTGAGAATTCACTCAGCAGTGCGAAGAAAGCGCCGTTCAAAGTGGGCGGGACACATTTATGACGACAAGTACGGCTTAAAACTATAACGTAAAAATACTGATGCAGTCATGGACAAATAAAAATTAATGCGCAGGAGAGACGAGACGTCCCCTGCGTTTAGTCTACAATGGAGTCAGTCTCAAATCTTCATAAAACTTATCTAGGACTACGAGGTTTGAGTTCAAATTTGAGAGGAATTTCTCTACTTCAGGTATCACAGCGTCTTCTAGGTCCTCGACCCCGAGTGCAAATATCTTCAGAAGCTGACTTCGGTGGGGCACCATTTTGGAAAGAACCTGCAACAGGCAGTATACAACATAATTTTAACGACTTACTGAGTTCAATTTCGTTCGCCCAGTCGATATGACATTTTTAAAATTGAAAAGAAAAAAAAAATACAAACTGACAACAGCTACTCACACTAAAGAGTCGCTGGGCTAAAAACCCGTGGTACTTCTGTAGCGTCTCTCTGTACGCCTTCTGGATGTTATCCGACAAATCCTCCCGCTTCCTACCGGCCTTCGCATCCTCCACGACGGAAAACAGGAACTTGTGGAAGAAGCTGAGAGCCCTGTGCAAAATCACAAACCAGCTTACATTAAACTAATAATTCATATTGTGTTCTAGCTCCGTGTTACGTGTATCATCATTTAAAAAAACGGCCATCGCCAGAGAGCGTGTTGTCAGATGAAGTTGGCAAAAATCATCACGGTTACACCACGCCTGTTCGTAGTGGGCTGCATCTACACGCCTGCCTCTAGTGCGCCAGTGACGAGGGGTTGCCTTGTAGGCAGGTGCAAGATGCATCCCACAAAACACCTGTGCATCCAGGGGAACTTCGCCTACTTTATCCGGCAACAGGCGCAACACTGTCTGTGTAGGCGATTTATGATCACACAATTGTACCTCCGAAGCCAAAGGAGGGCGTCGGTGGCGCGCAGGGCGCCCTGAGCCTGTTCACAGATGAGCATATCGTTCAGGAACTCGAACCTCTCCTGGTCCTCATTGTACTTGCTCGTCAGTTTCTGAAAAAAAAGAGACGCAAAATAAGATGATATTTTTAGCATGTCTCCCATAATGATGCAGATGTGAAGGTTTTCAGAAGCGGAACTCACCTCGATGTTCCCGTTCATGTCATATCGGACAGGGGCGAATACCTTGCCGAGCTTTTCTGCACAGACAAAAAATGAAAGAAAGGGTTAAGAGAAACAGCACCACATTGAAACCAACAGAAAAAAAAATGCCAAATCACAATCATTTAAGTTAAGTCACCGTCCTTGTCTTATCACGAGTCGGACGCGTTTTATTTAATCTTAAACAGACGGTACAAGGGTTTGGAAAGCGGTTTATCTACATCCGTGTCGGATAGTGCCTCGCAGGAACTCGCGAGGGTCGTCACACACAAGTGGAGTCACTTAGGGGGGGGG